CCTTTCAAGGGAAAAAGCACATTAAGAGCTTTTGATAATTATGAGCTGCGAACTACGTTTGATACACTGTATTCGACAAATAAATATGTTGAGATAATTATTATTTCTACCCCTCTCGTAATGTAGTTGAAACAATTAACTGAATATGAAATGTAAGATATGTAATATGCATGAGACAAAAGGAAAAATACACCGCATTCTAAATTCCAAAACGCACAGTATGCGAAAAAAATCAATTAAATTTAATTATTATTTAAAATTTATTATATTCATCAACACTTGAACTTTAATATATTTTGTAAGTATTCATTATCAATATACGTTATAAATGTGTTACCTTCTTTGTAACATCTGAAAGGGAGGTTCCACGATAACTGTCGTTGTGATTAGGCAGGCTGATAGAGCGTAACACAGTGCTGCTATAAGATCTAGGCCTGGCACGACGTGTTCCTTTACGGCTGCAAAGGGCATCCGAGCCTTATGTAAGACTACACGCATCTTTGTAGTAGACGGTAGACAGTGCAAAGGATCTGATGACTCGTACAAATCAAATTTCTGGGTTCCGGGAGTCAGACATTGCCTGGCGTTTTTAATTGACATCGTATTTGGTTCTAGGTCTATGGATGTCTTACTCAAATAACGGAAAGTGAGAAGTAAACATGAGGCTCTAAAAAGTAAATTATTTGTTATAAGAAATATTGTGCATCGTAAATTAAATATAAACACAACGCATCAATCTTAAAGGTAAATTTAAAAAAAAGTAGTAAATTGTTGGATTTCCAGTGCTAGATAGACGTCCTAGAATTATGTGCAAAGATGTTTTAGCTCGTAAACTGTTAAGGTGGGAAGAACATTTGAAGAGAAGAAGTGTTTGTTTAACCAACTTTTATACACACACAATAAGTAAAATAGTAGAATTTTAAACACAAGACAAAGGGTTACTCAAAAATTTGTTTACGAGAAATTTATATTCTAAAGTCTGAAGGAGACGTGGGTAGAAAATTAAAACCCTTCGTTTGACGGAATAATTAATTAAGAAGCCACTGAATTACAACACAGTTTTTAAAAATGTGTTCATAAGAAATACTTTCTTGACCGTTTAGTCGGAGACAAATAAATGGTGCTTGAAATTGGGCTGTAATATGCATTTATGACGGCGGTATTCGCGAAAGAAAATGTTTCAGCTCATAAGAGTAAGCAAATTTTAAACTTTAACCCCTTGAAGCAGAACCCCATCTAAATATTTAAGAATTCGATCCTTGCCTCAAATAGAACACAAGTTATAATGCCTGAAAAATAAATCGGTTAACGTTGTTTAAGGAAATATTGTTATTTACTCTAAGAATCATGTGAAACCCATAATTACACTCTGTGGGGAAAAAATCAGAGTTGCTGACTATTAATACAGGTGGCACATATATACAATAGACTTTAAAAGGTTAATAAATTACACAAAATATATCTCAGGTATATTACTTAAATTTATTTATTTCAGATACGACATTTACAGGTCTTCCAGGAGCTGAGGCAGCTAATCTCTGGGTCGTCATTTCAGCAACCGGGATTCGTGGGCAACAAAATAACACTGGGGCACATTTTTCTCCGAATTCTGCGGCTCCCATCCCCCTCAATCGTCATTTCAACATTGCTCTATACTTATTTATCACCACCCCATGGTGTGTTCGATTGCCCCTATCAAACAGCGCATTATCATAAGCCAGGTCTAATTTAGGAAACTTACCCCTGACCCGGAAATTGACTGATCTCGGAGTAAAGGCAGCTTTACGGTACGCGCAAACTTAATAATTTTGCTGGCCAGCAATAACGGAAACTCAATTAAATCTACGTGTGAATTCAGAAATGGTAATGAGAAATCCCCGCTTATATGGCCGCATCTTCTAACAGGGCGATGTTTTATGCAGGGCTCGGTGGTATAACAGGTCAAGAGAGAGAGTGAGTGTGTGTGGACGTGCGGATATGACTATAGACGAACACGTTCATGTTCCCAAGGGTAATATCTCAAGTACAATAAAGAAAGCACAGGAGACGAGCTACAAATTCCCTTTCTGTTTCAAAGAAGAAATATATTTTAACAGTTTGAGGCACAAAACCCATTTAAATAATATTTCAAAGTTTACCTCATAGCTAAAAGAAACCACAATGTGCCTCCATTACAAAGATCAGCTCATATTAACACACCAACCTGTCACAGAACCTAGTATTACATAACTAAAATTCCGCGTCCATCAGCCAAAATTGTGAATCGTGGATTTAATTATACGCATTCGATAAAATGTTAATTAATTTGTGAAATAGTGTGGTCGAAGGGCACCTGAGACCACTTATGTTAGTATTTTTCTGAACTACATGTTTCGATTAGAGACTAATCATCATCAAGTTTATAGTTTGCGTCAAAGACACTGCTTAACCAATGCGAATAATTTCAATTCATGTTTGATGTCCAAACAAATATTTAAATCCTTAGATTACATAAAACCTTTGCACTGCTTTAGTTTCGATTTCGACATTTCTTTATCTTATTTACATATACGTTTGTTTGGCTGCTACGCTGTACGTATGACTCATTATATTAAAAATATTAGAGACATCTGACGTCTGGAAAGCGTAGAAATTTTGCTTTTGTAAACACAGTAATGACGTTTCAGGCCCAATAAAATGAAGGAAGTAGTCTGACCATCTGAATCACTAACAACCTTTAAAGGCAGATTCAGCACCATGGACATAGCAGTGAAGCATATTTACTTATTTTTTTGTTTATTTGTTTTAATTTATTTATATACAATATGTTACGTAATATTCAGTTATTTATAACAACGCATTCTGTGTATTCTACGAGAAAATAAAAGCATCTCCTTAGCTGTCTAATGTTGGTCATCAATTTGAACACAAACCGTCACACAAAATGTCTAGTCGATAATGTGGCCAGAGCGTGCCACGGCCATAACGAAGTAGCCATCTAAGAAATTGATAGGCAATAATACAAGGAACTACGCGTTAAACACACAGGGCGACTTTATGACGTCTGTGCACAAAAACTGTCATAAATCGCAAACGATATTATTTCGACGTTTTAACGCAACTCAAGACTCCATATTCTTAAACATACATTCTTCACGGAATATTTCTAACGTTAATAAACACAAATATGAAGAAATTAACGAGTCATATATTTCGCAATGAATAGCGAGATGCAGAAAAACATGCTCTTGGAACTTTACGAAAAGCCAACAGAAACTTTGGATATAAACCCAAATCGTGAAAGTATATTAATGTCTATCTTACAGGTTAAAGAGTGAAATTTGGGTTCGATTTATCTGGCTAAGAAGATAATTCAACAGCAGGCTAATCTGAAGGGGGTGGTAAACTATCGGTTTCAACAGCTCAAGGAATGTTTAGGTCGGCCCTGAAGTTTTTAAAGAAATATTCTTCATCATAAAGTTGATCTACTTAAAGAGTGTATTTTCTCAAGCGCTTTAAAATATATCTGAAGTCATGACTTCCGCTTTCTTTCAACTGCTTCAGCTCATGTGATAAGTTAACAAATATATAAGATTGCAATATCTATCCATTTCCGTATCAGAAGGCCAAAAATTAAAAAAAAAAATCCTACAGAATAACAAAGTAACACAACAAAATGCTAATAATTTTCGAAAATGTATTATAAAACACAAAATTTTAGGACGTTACATAAAAAGACGCATGTGTCACTCCCACCTAGGAAGGTCGCAACGTCGCCATGTTTGTTACTGATAACCAAAGAATACAGAAGTTGACTGGTGTGATGTTCATAACAAGGCCCATGGCAACCGTTATCTTCATTAAAAATTATGATTATGGCGATATGATAGGCCTAAAAAAACATAAAAAAAAAATGAAATTAAAACGTACTGGATAGCATTTACAGAATATCAGTGTATCTGCTTTAATCTGGGTATGCGTCTGTCCAACGATGACGTCTCGTAACAAACATGGCATAAATCGATCGAAATAACTCCGAAGTGAATTCAAGTTACAATCTCTTCTGTTTTCTTCTTTTAGCCATTAAAGAAACAAAAGGGGAAAAGCGTAGATGGACGTTGACATTAGGAGAAACATCAACAGACCGGAGGTTAGGAAAACAATAACGATTATTCCGTCTGGCCAGGAAGAGGTCAAAACATGGATGCGCGCGGCCTCTCAAATCCCTTCCAAGTAAGATTTTAAAGCTCGCTCACGGCTTTTCATGTGAAGCAGAGTCACTCAAGACAGCTGTTGGGCTACAGCAACACATCGAACCGTCTTTCTGTGCTGAGACAACGCATATTTCGCTGTAACACACAATTATCTGCGTGCTTCAGCACATTAATAGTGCGTAATTAAGGGTACTAATGACAGAAAAAAACAAGAAGCAGGGCCCCTATAAATAATTCAGTAGTTGCTAAGTTGGCGAAGGAATTATCTGTATGTTATGGAACCAAAAGATTCACATGGGTTACTTTTGAAATGTACTCTGACTAAGAAGACTACCAAACGTACAATTGTAGAAAAATTCATGACAGCAACGAGACATACCAGCGACTCAGTCCTTCACCGTCTGAACTGAACGTGCATAACCATCAGGTTCGAGCAACGTACCGTCACCCCACCCTCTGTCTTCCTCAACTCACAGAGAAACCCGAAACGACGAATATTAACCTTATTACCGATCTCCGCGTGTTGTGTTTACGATGGGAACGAATGTGGTCTACACTCAACAGATAGCAACGAAATATCTTTTGCCATGATTCAGATGCACAAAATACGCGGGGGTTGTTTGTTAAAATGTTTTTATTTCATTCAATTAATGTGTGTATACAGCTGATCCTGATTCCCTTTTATCACACGTAAGACACGCGAACTTTTATCTGGACATTGTTGGAAAATCTTATAAAGCCCAAAACACATCAGGGGCATACTGTGTTAATTGTTAAGATTCTACTGAAACAACGTTACCAACTTACCCTCCTTGTCCATGTGATGGTCGGAACAGGGTTGCCAGACGCTCGACATTCTAAAGTGACAGCTGATCCCTTTTTCACCTCCATTGCGCCTTTCCGTGTTCCGTCAGACGACACGAAGTCGATTCGAGGTGGAACTGAAACAAGAAGGCAACCATTAACCCACAGGGCATTTAATTTCGTCCCTGTAAACCCAAATCAACCGCCTTCGGAGAACTCAAAAGAGACCAACATCGATATTGCCATATATTTCTCGTTTAGGAAATCTAAAATACTAAAACAAACCTACTTATTTTCTTGTCACATAGGTGTCAAAGGAGTTAAATAAACCACAAGCAACAAACTGGCATTCGGGAAATATGTAATACCAAAGGGCCTCTGACATTCTTCCCTGTTCCAATGTCTTCCCGTCTGCAAATGTCACAGCGGCCCGAAATAAGCCATTCTGTCAGCGACTTGACTGATGGCCACAGCGGGAACAATTCCAGTGATGTAATCATTTCACTTGATGACGTAATAACGACATCGGGTCTACACAAAGGAAAAAGAACTTGTCCCTGGCGAGACTAATCGCGGAGACAAGGCGAAACCAACGGATAAGAAGCAATGTCATGTCCTAGTCCACAAAGCCAGCGGACTCGCGAAATCGAATTTCAAACAGAATGTTGATGTTCGACTATGATCATCTGTGTCGCCGGTTACCCTACCACTTGTGAAGAATGTTACCTCAGAACGCAAACTACCTGCGAGCCTGAGCCTGAGCCTGAGGTGAAGGAGAAAGGGCAAGAAGCCTTACGCGCTAACAATATCTGTCCCTCCCCGTACCGCGGTGATAGACGCTCGTAGATATTTTGCGACAAGAATAATTCCAAGCCGGAAATAAGGATAAAATAATGATATGACAGCGAAATAAATTACGTCTCCACATACTATTAGAACAATGAATGAATAGATAAAGTTTGGTGAGAAGAAAAGCTACACATTGGCAATAATAATAATAATAATAATAAGGGGTTAAGGTAATGGGGAGAGGTAGTACCTTTCACCATCATAGTCTGACTATGCTGGACACTGGTCCTCACCCACCCAGGAGCAAGTGATGCGCAATACAGATCCAAGAGCCTCTCCTTGCTCAAGACCGTCCGTGCGTGGTGAAGAGCCACATCCGACTAGAGGTGACCCTGTTATATAACAGAACACGGCGGATCTAGAGGAGTAAACCTCGATAAATAATCCCGTGCAGCTACTACCGAAGAATGGAAAGACAAAGATCTGGAGTACAGGTCGCCTAGGTACTCCAAGGGCTGAGGTTGGTTACGGCAA